ATAAAAGATTGGAAAGAGACTTAGGGTATATGATTCACCACTAAGTACATTCCTTAACTCACTCACTTTCAACTAATTGGGAAAATAATTAAATGTAATTCTAATGTAGCTAATACTTGCAAAGAAAAGTATGAAACATCAATTTCAAGCTTGAATTGCATACTTAATGACAAATAAACTAAGTGTAGTGCAATTCACCAATACAAAGAATGGTCCATTAATTCAAGTTACAATTCTAGCTTACATTAATCTAGAAGATAATGCAATTGTGACAAAAAGTATAGAATTCAAACATAAGTATGGATGGTCTACTTATCTAATAATTGAATTGTAATTAAATTAATTAATCTTAAATTAAACTAATTAAACATGAATTTAAAACTAATTAGACAATAAATTAACCTAAACATGTAGTGCCATCCATCAAATAAAAGTAATTTTCCATCAATTTGAACACGATTACAACTAATTAACCACATGCATAGACATCACAAGAATCAATTTACAAGGAATTCAAGTGTATAGCTTGTTTATTCATCAATAACACATAAGACAACATGAGATTAATACGAATAAACAATTGAAAGAATTAAATCATGTTATTCAAGCCTATACATCAATTACATAAATAAATCCCCAAAAAGTATGAAAAGAGAGAGAGAATAGGTTACATGCTTAGGGTTTATCCAACCCTAAGTAGGAGAATTAGCCACTCATGGTTGATGGAGTTGAAGACAGAATAATCTCCATCCTTGGGTTCATCATCTCTGAGCTTCCTCTCAAAACCCTAGCCTGTTCTTGCTTTTTCTCCTCTTTCCCGTGTTTTTCCAGAGAATAAAAATATCGATACAGAATATTAAAAAATTCATAAAATAAAATAATATTCACCTAAATAAAATAAATACTAATCCTAATCTAATGGCTCACTGGGCCTTAAGTAACAACCCTATTGAAGCCCAATAGTTCACAAAATAAGCCCAAACAATAAAAAAAATCTGTAATGTTGCCAAGTCCTAGGGGATCGATCCCCCAAGAGTTGGAAATTTCCTTTAAGCCTTATTTAGCTCCGTTTTGGTTCCGGGCTAATTGGTTTGCTTCTTCATCTTTGGGAACATCATCAAAGGCCCGAGATTGACCGCTTTCGAAAAATAAACACACTATACGAGCAATGGGCTACGACCTCTTTTTGTCATTTTCTGAACTTTTTCTGAATATCTTTGCTTAACTCCAAAAAAGCTTTAATGGACCGTTCTTAGCTCATTTTAACTTTATCGCCATGAAATACACATAAACATAAATTGGGACTAAAACATGAAATTAAGATAGATGCAAAGACAGAAATACCCTAACTTAGGTGCTGAAATGTGCAACATTTAAGCACTTATCATTCTTGATATGCTAAATAAATGTATTCTTATTAAATTATTTACATATTAATAATTAAAAATAAAAAATAAGAAAATGTAACCGTCCTCTCATGCTATATAAATGCATACTTATTAACTTGATTATATATTAATAATTAAAATAAAAATTACAATTGATGAACAAATGAGTGAAGCTTGTTTAGAAATAATAAAAAAAATATGCACTTTTATAAATAGTATATTGATTGAAATACGTTATGAATATGAAAAGGAAAAAATATATATATATACACTTTTATAAATAGTATATTGATTGAAATTCTTAAGTATGCGTTATAGATATGAACCATCAGCTAATTAATAATGATTGTGCGCTTTTAAATGTGACTTTTTTTGTGAAAAAAAAAAAATTCAAAAATGTTAAAAATTAGTTACACTTTTAAAATAGTATAGATATAGATATACATATACATATACATATACATATATCAAAAGATTTACAATTTGGGCCTAAACCATTATGGCATAGATGACAGGATCAAAAGCAAGATTGAGGATACACCTATTTGCCCAATACAAGGACATCTAAAAAAAACTGAACTCGGCCCATAAATAAAATAATAGAAAGTCGTTTGCAAAAGGATAATTTTTATAATCTTTTTACTCCACCGTCACGTGACTAAATTGTTGGGAAACGTGCAAGTTTTTAAAACTTTTCGAGGGATTTTAATATATAGATCTTGATTCATCACATAGAGATAAATTTTATGCAAAAATAAAATATGATGTATCATTCAGTTAACAGATTGAATACTTACATCAAAGGTCTGAGTAAACCTTTAATTCTTTCCTCTAAAGTGAATGTTCTCACTTATTGTAGATTCCTTAGCAAGACGCCTTCTCCTTGGATCTCCAACTTCTTGGTAATTGTTTTACCTTTAGGAATCACTCATATGCCTCGATGAATGACCTTGGAAAACTAGGCTTGTGGGTGCCTCTATTAGATGAGAACATAAACCCTAATTTTCTAGAGAGAGAAAATAAATTCCTTTTTCCTTATTCTAAAAATCATCCCTAAAAATATACATAGACCATGTATATTTATAGGCAACAAAAAGATAAAGAAAAGGAAACAACAAATCCTTCTCAATCTCTAATTCACATGTCTCAAATCTAATATGATTCCAATATCAAGTTGGGCTATGAGTGAGTGAGAATCCATTGGGCCTATTATTTTATTGGCTACAATGAATTAATAATTGGCCCGGTCCATGGATCCAATTCAATTAATTCATAAATTAATTTCTACTCCACTAAAAGAAATTAATTGAACTCCAATTAAATAATAAATAACCTCTAAGTCAATATTGCACTTTGACCCCTCTATGCATAATTAGTTATCGGATAAATAAAGCCATCAATCTGACTACTTAATTAATATATTTATTTTGGTACCTTTGATTATTTATGGCTTGATCACAATAAAACATTTGTTTGACAAAAATAATAATTTAAATAAATAAATATATAATAAATCATTTTGTCTAAAAACACACGAAGGCCTTCGAATTTACTTTGTGATCAACCATAATCAATACAAAATAAATACAAGTAGCAATGATGCAAATATTGAAAATATAACCCTCTAACTATTAATTACAGAACTACCCAAAGTGTCGGTCTAAGGATCCCAAAGAATCCGCCGAACAAATCAAAGTAATTATTAATTAATAAAAGAGTTTATACTTTTCTCATACTTAAGAGTCAAATGCCATGACGGTGATAAGGAACAATTGTATACGACGGCTCTCGCAATATATCTCAACCTAACGCGGAACCAGTTCAAGTCTTAATTAATTATGATTCCATCTATAATTACCGACTATGAACAATTTATAATTACTATTTATATTCATGTATTAATCGCCATCACATACATATATAAATATCTCTTGTAATCAAGATGACACTATCAATTCTATAATGAATCGAAACATTATACATTGAATTCACTAATTGTACAAAACATAAATATTTCAGAAACGTCAGGAACATATGTCACTTTAATCCAAACAGGAATTTGCTATGCCAGGGCATATAAATCCTGAAATTAGTTACACTTTTAAAATAGTATAGATATAGATATAGATATATATATACATATATCAAAAGATTTACAATTTGGGCCTAAACCATTCTGGCATAGATGACAGGATTAAAAGCAAGATTGAGGATACACCTATCTGCCCAATACAAGGCCATCTAAAAAAAACTGAACTCGGCCCATAAATAAAATAATAGAAAGTCGTTTGCAAAAGGATAATTTTTATAATCTTTTTACTCCACCGTCACGTGACTAAATAACATAGGTTTTAAGGTTAATTTCACTCACACCTCCTCAGATTTGGCCAAATATTACCTTTAAACATCTTTCGAAAATAGCTATCACTTAGGTCCATTTTCACTTTTCCGTCACAGAATCTGTTAAAAATATATAAAAGACATTTTTGCCCCTAATTTTTTAATCCCATTTAATCTCAATTATCACATTACCATCTATACCCCTTTATCATTTCACCCACCAACCACTGCAACCCAGTGACCCACGCACACACACTCATCTCTCTCTCTCTTTTCATAATTATAGCAAACCGAGGAGGAGAAGTCATAGATTACCATATCAATTCATATCAGATTACCATGTCAATCTTTGTTAGATCGGATTGATAGAGCGGCCCCGCGTCCAATTCCGACGACGCAGCAATAAACACTTCAAGGACGGCCACCGCTGGTTTAACAGAGACTCGCAACTCTGACTCCGACATTTGTAGATTCCGATGACACTCCGAGGACGACGACGGATGGGTTTCGCAGAATTCGACGATGGATGGTATTGCTAGTGGTGGTTGGTGATGGGTTAGGATAGTAATGGTTGTGGTGGCGAGGGCGATTGATGATCGGTTGGGATTGGGATTGTGTGGGTGGCGGCGGTAGCGATTGGGATTGTGTGGGTGGTGGCACGAATGGTGATGGTTTGGGATTTGGATTGTGTGGGTGAAGGCGGCGGCGATTGGTGATGGGTTGGGATTGTATGGGCAGCAGCGTCAACGATGGCAATGGTGGATGCTCTGTGTATATCTATGTCTGTGTGTGTATATATTGGTGATGGCTTGGGATTGTGTGAGTGGCGGAGATTGCTGATGCTTTATTTGTATCTATATCTGTGTATATATATATATTAATTAAGAGTATGTGTCTATATTTATACAGTTTTTGTTCATTAATATCATTTCTTGATGAGTTCGTTCTAAGGAGCAACATGTTGCTAAAATTCCTTGACGAGCACACCCAAGACCATAACCAGAAGGCTAAGTTGCAATCGGATCCACTTCACCTGGCTCCATGTGTAAAGGAATAAGTCTAAAAATGTTCTTGCAAATATCTCCAACTATTTTATTTTTTAAAGATAAAATAAGATTATCATTTGCCTAACAATTATAACATCATCCAAAATTAATAGCCATTGAAAATAATAAAAAGAGTTAATTTATGTAAAATAACATGTTGTGACTTGTGAGACTTGTGAATTCAGGACTTAGGACCAGCCGACCAGCCCACTGAATTCTTGGGCTAGGGCTTTCACTCAAATCAAACATTTAAATACCTATGTCGATTTGGTTCAAGGCCTTAAACATTTAAATACTAGTTTTAGGGCACACAGTTCATCATTCACACACTTTCAGAGAACCAGACAGAGAGAATCGAATCATTGCAAATGTATTTATCTCCCCACTTTACAGGCAAGTGCTCACCTCTACACTCTTTGCTTTGATTGAGAGCATATTATATGTTTGTATCTTCAAGAAATGACTATATATATCTGCAGAAGTCTCATCTCACACTCTCTCAAGAACTCTTCACATCTCAACAAAACTCGAATCTCCCTTTTCTCTATCTTCTTCTTCTCTTCCTCTCCAGAAACCCCTATTGCGGTGGCCGATTACTTGATTGAGAGACACAAATTTTCTGCTGAAACTGCTTCGATAGTCTCTTCCTTCGTAAAGTATGTGAAAAGGCCTGAAGATACCGATTCTATTCTTTCATTTCTCCAGGAAAGTGGTTTTTCGGATACCCATCTCGATCATCCCATCAAACGCACGCCTGAAATTCTCTCTTCAAATCTTGAGCGCACCATCAAACCCAAATTCAAGTTTTTTCAAGACTTGGGTTTTTCTTGTAGCGATGTTGTGAAATTCGTTTCGTCTAACCCACGGATTCTAAATTATAGCGTTGAGAATCGGTTTGTCCTGTCGATTTTAGCATTGAAGAGTGTTTTGGGTTGGAATATAGATGACGTGTCTAGGTTTTTAAAGAAATCTGGGTCTGGTAGGATTTTGAACCAAGATTTGGCGAAAACTTTGATACCCAATATTGAATTTATGAAGAGTTGTGGTATTTGTTCGTTGCAAATAACTCAATGTGTCTTTGATTACCCAAGTTTTTTCTTGTATAAACCGACGCGTATTAGAGAAAATGTGAAGAGGGTTGATGAGACGGGCTTTGACAGGAAGTCTAAGATGTTTCTTCATGCGATTAAGGCTATTAGTTCGATGACTAAAGAGAAATGGGAGTTGAAATTGGAGGTCTTTTAAGAGTTTGGGTTTTCCGAAGATAACAAAATGTCAGCTTTTTTTTATATTTTCATTTCTTTAATCAAAGTTGATAAAATTAAACCATTGTCTTTGATTGATACAGTACATTTGATCTCTTTTAAATGTATTTTTCATCTAATTTTTCTTCATGACACATCTGGCTCATCCGCGGTAGATGGAGCCATCCCAGTTCTTGTTGTTGCTGCATTACCACTGGGGATGGGCTGGGGTTGTGTGGGAAGCGGCGATGGCGGCTGGGGTTGTGTGGGCAGCGGCGATGGCGGATGCTCTGTGTGTATCTATGTCTGTGTGTGTATCTATGTATATATGTGTATATCTATATATGTGATTTGTAAATTTACATATATAATACACATATGTATATTCTTCTATTTTTAGTAATTAGAATTGAAATCTTATCTTAGTGAGTTAACGTCAAACTTTACCATTTTAGATGGGATTAGAAGTTGCTATATTAGAGATTTCAAATCTCATTAATTTAATTTCATTTAAAATTTCATTGATTTTGAATAATTTTGAACTCAGTGTGCAAATAAAGTTCAAACTTTCTTGTTAAACAAATTGATCAAAGTTATTATAGTATTTTAATGGAAAATACTTAAATCACTTCTCTTGATTTGATAATTAAAGATATACATCATTATCTTTTATTTGGTAATTACTACGTACTATCCATTTTAAATATATCATTATTTGTGTGTATCCATGTCTGTGTGTATATCTATATATATGTGTATATCTATATAAGTGATTTGTAAATTTACAAATTTTTAGGGGTATTTTAGTCTTTTAATTTAATTATTTAGGTTGAAGGTTGTTTTGACAAATTTAAAGGGTATTTAAGTATTTTCTATCGTGTCAGATTCGTTCCACTAATGGTTGGGGTGTGAGTGAAAAACGGAGTAAAAGTTTGTAATGTGAGTGATAGTTATTTTTGAAAGATATTTGAAGGTGATATTTGGCCAAACTTGAGGGTCTCAGTGAAATTAACCTAGGTTTTAAATCTCTCTTTCATTGCCCACCCTATCTAGCATCTCTCACAGCGTTGCTGCTTCTCACTACACTACGGGGCGCATCTCTCTTCCCGCCTCTTTTCTACGGCAAGTTCTTTTTCTGCTGCCTCTTCTCTACGGCGTGTTATCTATCTTACATTGTGTTACACCTTTGAAGAGTTTTTTTCCTTTCAAAATTGATGTGGTCAAATTCCATTCACTTCAAATTATTAAAAATTCAGTTTGGTTAATGTGTTAAGCAGAAGGCCTCACTTTTATGGACCCTGCTCTTTTGCGCGAGGTTCACCTCCACTTCTGTACGCTGCCGTGGACAGAACGCCAATCTTAAAAACAATTAACCGGGATTAAGTACTCATGAACTACTTTTTGTTCTACTTACGTGATTGATCCGGCTCCAAGTGAAGTCTGAGCAAAGGTATGCTCTCTTCGGCAAAATTATTACTTGGTCTCTACAAAAGTACCTCTTGAACCTTTTACATACAAAAATTATTACATGGTCGACCAACTGAACCAATGTGTGCTTTTCTTCTCTCGTGTTTTTTTTTGGGTTTCAAAGCCCTAATTTTTTCATTATCTCCCTTTTCCCAATATATTCTTGTCATCCGTTTTTGATTTCTCATCTTTGATTGATATTTTCTAACATATTCTCAGTGATATATAAAAAATACATTTTTTTTTTCGGAATATAAAAAATACATTCATTTGACAATAAAATAAATTTACATTATATATTTATCCAAATATAAAGTACAGTTTTAATTTGGATACAATTATAAGATATATAGACTAGTGTTGGCACATAAAGTGGTAGGCCAATAGTCGGCCACTTCAATGATGACATGGTGCAGTAAAAATAGTACAAGTGGACTAAATCATGGTCCGAATGTTGAATTGACACATGTCAAACTTAGAAGGAAAAGAGATTCCAACACTCTGGAGACATCTAGCAGAACAAGAAAGGCAGGTATGAAAGGAAAAGGATAGCTGGCAATAAAATTGTGGGATAAATGGTTTCCTAAATTCAAGGAGGATGTGGGCTTAAAGGAGTTGGACATGCATAAAACTTCTATTAACTGTCAATTCAGTTTAGAAGTCCCTACCTTTAAGGAGTTTAAAGTCAAAATTAGAGAAGGAAGGTGGTTCCTAAAATCTAGGGATAAATGGGATCGTGGTTGAGCCTTCAACCGGTTTTAAAAAGGGAATAAATCAGCAAAGAACCACCTAAAATCTAGAGATAAATGGGATCGTGGTTGAGCCTTCAACCGATTATAAAAAGGGAATAAATCAGCAAAGATTTAAGGATGTGGTATATATATATATACACACACACATTCGAATAAGCAGTTGAAGGAACGTGGAACACATGGCTGCAGTGGAAGAAATTCATGGATTGTGGGTTTGGAAGTTGGAATTCGGCAACTGAGCATGAGATAAATGTCTTGTAAGAAAGAAGCGGGCAGTTGCTTAAAAGGACATGGGTCCTTCTTATAGGGCTTTAATGCTTATAAATAGTTTACTTATGACTATGTTTCAAACTCTCTCAACGACATCAATCAACATTCAATACTTTGTATTTCAATTCATGTATTTTCAATACAAGTCAATTTCAATTCTTTTACATTCATGCACTTACTTTCAGTATTGCATTTCAATTCATTAGATAACATTGTAGTCTTAATTAAAAGTCCTTTCATCGAAGGCAAATCCGAAACCTTACAATCGCTTGATCATTCCAAAAGGATTTTCCTTTTCGTTTGACCTTTCTGAATCTTCTGAGATTTTGGCACGCTTGCACATTCCAAGTATCCCAATTTTGTGGAATTTTTAATTGGCACGCCCAGCTAGACATCCGGTAAAGATTGCAATGCCGCCAAAACCAAAGTCGACCCGTCAACCTACAACTGGTGATGAAGATCCAGATGAAGAAGTTTAGCCGGCTCAGGCTGGAAGTTCTAATCCTGGTCCTGAAGAATCAGGAGTATGTGCCGGATGCAATCATTGGTTGCACCATTGGCCGAGGCATTGGGTAAGATATCTGCCCGCCTTGATGACATGGATCACAAGTTCTTTTAGAACTCTCAAACTGTCTCTCAACTATCAGCTGTCGTTTATAATCAATTGGCTCAAGCTGGAAGTTCGAATGCTTAAGAATCAGTACCTCAGCCGATTCCTCATCCTCCACCTGTGGTGACAATTCAGCCAGTTCTTGTAGTGAGTCTTCCACAAAACCCACCAATGACTTGGCCATAATTTCCATTATTTCCTTAGCCATAGGTACATCAACCGTTTCCACAGCTGCCGTAATAGCCACCTCTAAGACCTCAAATGTTTCCTCCAAATTTTTCCAGAAGAGATTATCTTGACCCGGGGGGGCAATTATGGAAGATGGAGGAATAACCCACCATATCCGCAACCTATGGCACCCGGGGGGCAGCCAATGGCCAATCTACCGGTTTGGCCAGAACATAATCCACCACCAGCGACCAATCAGTTGCTAGGAATTAATCAACTGGCCCAACTAGTTTTTCTAGATAGAGGCTAGTTCGGAATTGATAGATCAAAATTTTGGTTTAGCTGCCAAACGAGTAAGCCGACCGGCTTATAGGAAACCATACCCGGAAATAGTTGATGAATTTGAGTTCCCTAGAGGGTACAAAGTTCCAGATTTTGTAAATTTCATTGGGGAAGTTTACTAATCTAACGTATAACACATTGGCAGGTTCATTGTTCAATGTGGAGAAGCGGGGGCAAGTCCATGGTTGAAATTGAGGCTTTTTCCAAACTCCCTCACGGGATCAGCCTTCTCTTGGTATATTCACTTACCACCAGATTCTGTTCATTATTGGCAGCAGATGGAGGAGCTCTTCCATACGTAGTTCTACCGGACAAAATCAGAGGCAACTCTGGCTGATATATCTTGGCCGTGCTAGATGGCCAATGAATTTGTGGAAACATTTATTGCTATATTCAGAAGGGCCAAACTTAAGTGTCGTGTTTCTCTTCCAGAAAGGGAGTATGTTAGGCTAGCCCTTAATGGCCTTGACTTTGAGCTCCGGAAGAGGTTTGAAGGAATGGAGTTCAGAGACTTATTTGAGTTGGCTGACAGGTAAGCAAATTCGAGTCTATACTCAAAGAAGAAAATGATAGAAATAATTTTCTTAAAGGAACTTAATACAGAGATCCTAACTATGAAGTCTTCTCAGCAAAGTTGGAAGATGATCTGGAAGCTAATGTGACAGATGTTCATATCAAGAAGCCATATGTTTGTGAGGTGCTGGTTAAATCAAAATCTTTTACAAGCGGCGGACAAGCATCTACCTCTTCGGCTAAGAAAGGAATGGCCAATTCTAGAAAAGTTTATACTTTCGACCTGTCCAAAACAGAACAGATATTTGATCGCCTTATGGCCGATAAACAAACACCGTTGCCTAAGGGACGTGTTATTCCTACAGGAAAAGAATTCTGCAAACACCATCATTCTTGGAATCATGGTACTAATAATTGTTTTATATTCCGAAACGTTTTGTAGAAAGCCATTGATGAAGGAACGCTGAAACGTGTTATTCCTACAGGAAAAGAATTCTGCAAATACCATCATTCTTGGAATCATGGTACTAATAATTGTTTTGTATTCCGAAACGTTTTGTCGAAAGCCATTGATGAAGGAACGCTGAAATTCCCAGAAAAGAAATTGGAAGTAATGGGAGTGGACAGTGACCCATTTCCTACCATTGTTACCAGTAATATGATAAGCCTTACTCCAAAGTTTCTAAGGAAGAAAATTGATATTGGAGAAGCAGATACTAGAAGTTCCACTCAAGCCAGAACCAGAATCTTCCAGCAGTAAGGTAATAGCAGACTTGGAAAAGAAGTTGAGAGAAGCTCAGATTGCTATTATTAATCACGGCTGATGTCCAGATTGCCAGGGCCGTGATAATAGAGGGCACCACCATGATCATTGAAGGG